CATTGGACAGCTCTACCTTACACAGTTTGACTGGGAACCCGTTTGTATGATTGGGTTAAAATGACTTTTTTCTCCTAAAGTTCTTTGAAAAAATTTGTCGTTAATTGGCGCCATACAAATAAACTGAACTTAATTGAAAATTCAGGTTATTTTTGATGTTAAAATCAGTTTGAACATTTAAAACATTTAAGTCTGACAAAAACAAAACGATATAGTACTGCATACATAATTGCCACTGTACAGATTTTTACAAAGTTAGTACAATCACATAGTTCACTGAACACAAAAAAACATTTGCAATTTGATCTCACAGTACAAAGATGACATTTGGTCCAAAATAGCCTCAGAGATGGCAAAGATGTACATTTTTTTCTGTGAAACCAAAATTAGAAACCAAATACTTCAGGTTATAATAGTTTTATTTTTTTTTTAACTTTCACTATATATTAAATGTTCATGCCGTTTTAATCCAAACTTCTCCTCTCTTATGGATGCGAGTACAAACACCTTTGTCATTAAGTTACAACTTCTGCAGAAGTCTTTATGCAGTTACTGTTTTCACAAGTAAACTCTTGTTTTAATCTTCTTGTCAATCTCTTCAGGGAGAGACGAGATTAAAAGCGGTCAGCGGATCGTCACCCGTTTCTGGCAGTCCAAAGTGCTTCGGATGAGGGTGAGTTGGATGGCATCAGCTGAGAAGAAATGTATTTGTGTCTTGAAGTGTTCTAAGGGATGCTGGGAACACCGAGCCCCGATTGGCTGGTTCGGGCTGACTGCAGTAACTCCAGAATCCATTGACGGACATCGAGAAGATGGGATCCACCAGGCTGCATTACTTTTAGATTTTTACTAAAGAGTGAAGGAGGTTGTCTGAGGTTATGAAAAAAGACTTAAAATGGATTCTAACAGCTTTTTGCTAATACATATTACAATTGTAATAAATTTTTTAAACTAATGTTAAGGATCTTCTCAAGCCAGTCAATATTCTGCATTTGAAAGAAGCAGGACCAACAAGCAGATAGAGATGGAGGAAGTTCAAACCATCTCTTCTTTCAGTCATAATGAGAAAGGATCATATCCTCTACTCCATCCTCTCTCTGCCATCCAGCCAGACAGAGGTTTAAAAAGGAGAGGCAAAGCAAATGAGGTGGATTAGCAAGTGCTAGCCAACAACTGATGGCATCATCCAGGATGCGTTTCTGTGCAACAACATCTGCTGTTCTGACATTGAACTGTTGGCATGTTTTGACAGCCATGAGACTCTCATTCAGCAACACTGGCTTCAGTCAGAGGCCTCTTAAAATTCATCACAAGGCTGACTGCTACCTGAGACTCATCCTGCCCACAGCATCACCATCCACAACCCTTTACAGATAACTCATGACAACAAATTAAATGTTGTCATGAGTTATGACATTTAATTTCCCTTCGGGATAAATAAAGTGTTTCTGAATTGAAGTGTGCAGCACACATTTGTTTCCAGTGAACAGGAAACTATTCTTCTCTGTGCTTCTAGGAAACCGATATGGCTGAGGCATCTTTTTCATCTACACCAAATAATTTCCTGTTTTTTATGAGAAATTCCAGTTCATATATATATATATATATATATATATATATACACACTGCAGTTGGAGGCAGAAACAGGAGTCGCTTTGTGACCAGGATATGAATAAAACAATCTGCAGAGAACTAGTGGCAGCGTGTATAGAAACAAAAAAGCATAAAGCCACTGGTACTAACTAATAAACAGTTAATGTTGTAGTGATGAATGGGAATGACCCGCCCATTCAATCTGGTTTACAAACTGACATTAGCTGCGTTTCCATTTCAAAAGAGCACAAATATTTGTTGCTGTTATGCTAATGCCCAAAAAGACAATTTCCCAATTGCAGTTTCTGTTAAGCAAGAGATTAAATTAAAATAAACTTGCTATTCAATATGACACGGCACAGATGTTAACAGATACATGAGTTCCATTCATAATTCATTCGTTCCTCATCCATCAGCCAATCAGAGGAGACATCAGCATCTTATTCATTCATTGGAGCAACAAGCCCCGCCTACTTGGGAGTGACTGCTAATGCAGCATTTTGGGAAAACTGTAATCTGCAATTTTCCAGAAGAGTTACGGATTCACCATGTTAGAATGACACACAACTTCTTATAAACTGCGTAATGCTGTCCAAGCTGTGGTGGAGCCAGCTGCAGATCATCCAAAAAAACAAAACCATCATCATCTGTCCACTTCCTGTCGTCTTCTTCATCGTTTTCACCACTAGTAACATCTGGTTGTTGATCATGTGACTAATGTGATGCAAAAAAAAGTGTTTCCATCGCAGTTTTGTGAAATACGTCCATTTCAATTTACGTCTGAAAAACCACCACATTCTAGTGCAAAAAACGTTTTTTGTCAAAATTGTTGTGTTTCCATTAAGCAGATTTAGTTTCATAATTTCACTTTATGCAATTCCATGGCTAATGGAAACGCAGCTACTGTCCTGTTTTAAGATTGCATGGCGACTGCTACAATCTAAACAGATCAGCAGTTCATCACAAGGCAAAGACACACCAGACAAACACCTACACCTGGTACCTGTGACATTGAAATTGCGCCTTATGTCTGCAGCAATGAGCCTCAGACTCCCCCCTGGTCGTGCCATGTGTGGCTCGTCTCCCATCTCTGGACCTCTATATTTAGCTGGGCCTGTGACCTGGCTGCTGCAAACCCAAACAGGCTCCACACATTGTCAAAACAAGGGGCTAATCCTGCCCAACAGGTGCTGGCTCTGTACAGACAGTCTGCAAGCACTCCCCAAGCTCCCATGCAACACAGTTAAAAACAAGTGAATTGACACTGTTGCTAAGCAAACACAGGAGTTCCTCTTCAATCAGCCCCCCAAGTCAGGAACACGGGGGGTCAAGACTGAGCCGTGCAGGTGATGAAGGATGAGATTCTCTCAAGTCTCATACGTCACTTTGTGATGATGCCCTCATCCAATGTTCTCATGTAGTTGTATCAGCTGTTTACCTCATGCATGACCTGTACACAGGTTGGTTAGCAGCATTAGCATCCGGGCCTCTCCACTCTTTACCCCTGTAGGTGGAAACGTGAGAGCTTTAGGGCAGCGTGTCAGAGACCGAGCCGTTCGTCGCGACCTCCACGTGAGGATAAACATGCGACTCAGCAGGTGGCGCCTTGGTTGCTGCGGCGGGAACAACGGTCTCTGTTCGGCTTGCGGGGTATATGCTGACCTGAAAGCAGAGCGTCAACAATTCGGTGAGCGGATAAAGTCCAGACAGTCGTTGATGCATGTCCTAGCTGAGAGAGTTGTGTTATTTACCATGGGCTGGTGACAGATGGCAGAGTTCATCTTCAGATCAATTACACTAAGAATTACCTCTACTCTACCCAAACAACCATGTTCCCTAAAACGTTGGGTTTCTGTGTGAAATATAAACAAAACCAAAGTGCAATGGTTTAAAAATGACTTGAAGCTCATTTTTGATCAGACACCGCACAAACACAACATGTGAAATGTTCATGCATATCTTAGTATCTGGAACCAGGGACACAATGGGACAGATGCAACACCTAAGACAAAGTTCAGACACTAAAAAGAAACAGCATCTACTAGTTGATGCTGGAATGATGCCGCTTTATTAGGTTCACCAGTTCAAATGCTTAACACAAATAGCAAATCAGCCAAATCAAAGCAAGACACCTAGATGTGCTGAAGTCGGCTTGTTGAAGTTCAAAATGGGGAATAAAAGGGTAAATACTTCAGGTGTGACTGCACTGGCTCTCCAGTATTCACAGCAGTACAACAACAGAAATGAGCAAATACTTCAGCCCCCCTCTAAAACCCTTATATCTTCTCATTTTGATAGTTTAAACTCCAAAATATAACCAAATATGCATTAAAGTGCACAGTTCAGTAAGGAATACCCTTGGTCTTCCTTATCTTTACTCTTAGTGGGTACAGCAACTACCAAGGAAAACAGATGCTGCACCTGGATTGTCTGTTTTACAAATGACTGCCAATAGCATATCAGATAGAACTACCATAGAAACCATTGATCATCCTACCAACAGATTTGCAGCAGCTGCTTGAATCAATCATGTCAATGTAAATAAAAATGTCAGAAACGTCTCAGATGCCTTGTTGACTCCATACCAAGCATTTCTAAAGGTGTACCCATAAAGACCGGTTGGTGCACACTTATTAGAATGCTAAAAAGATGCGTCGACGTTAGGTAACGAAACACATGGCAAAATTAGCATTGTTAGCAACCAAAGGTTAGCCAGCCTATTTTTACAGAGTCTCTGTTATGTATTATTTACCCTGCAACAAAAAGCTACGAGAAAAACAATTCAAAACAGTTTTATAGGACAGATTCAACTCAAGCGTTAATTCTCTATAAAACCTTCTATATTAGTCACCGTTTGGCTTAAAATTGTCTTCATCAGCATTTATAAAACAACTTCTCCCCTTTGTGTCTTTGTACCTACAGGCTTCTAATGATCTGTCTTAAGCCGAGCTGACACCTTCCAGTCCGCTCTAACGTCCACTCAACCACAGCGTCGTACCCACTCATTAGACTCTCTGCAGACATCCATGTACAATCGAGGTTTTTGTGACTGCACTGGTTGTGCACACCAGCAGGGAGAAGAATATTCAGTCAGATACCAATAGAGCAGGTCAGACCCAGGCAGGAGATGAAAACAAGAAGGAGTTTTGTTTTCAAGAAATACAACAGATTCTGATGTACTGATAATTTATCCTTCAAAGACAACAAAACCTGAACTGATTTTCTGATACTTCATTCATTCTTTTCAGTTCTGTTCCTCCTTTGAGTAGATATAAATATAAATCAGAGCATTTTCATCCCCAGCCTCCATGAGGTTTGATAAAAACTCTTTATATCTGTGGAGCTGACCCCCAGGATTCAGCTGCTTTGCAAAACCAGCCAATAGCGTGTCAAGTAATATTGTATTTCAGCATTCCAAACTGAATTTTCTATTGAATAATGCTCCTCAAAAAAATTCTGTGAACGACTGAATCCATGAATACTGAATAGCAAACGAGTTTCATTGTGTAGAGCAGGGGTGCCCAAGTCCAGTCCTCGAGAGCTACCATCCTGCAAGTTTTAGAAGTATCCTTACTCCAACAGACCGGGATCAGCTCTACAGAGGCCTGATAACGAGCCAGTCATTTGATTCAGGTGTGTTGAAGCAGGGACGCATCTGAAAGTTGCAGGATGGTAGCTCTTGAGGACTGGACTTGGGCACCCCTGGTGTAGAGGTTCAGCTGGGTTAAAAATAGTAGAAGGAGCAAAAGCTTCTCCATTAACACCAAGTGACTTTAATACATAGACAAAGAAAGTGTGTCAAGTCCTTACAGTTACAG